CCCCCCCCCTTCCCTGGCAGACCAATGGACCACCTGCTGCACCTTGCCGCTGTCATTAGCAGAATGTCCGGGTGGGCGTGGTCTGTCACCGCCCCGCCCCCTGCCAGGGACCGCCCACCGCGCTACCGCCCACATCTAGTCAGGAAGGATTTGGCGGTGGAAGTGATGACCCCATGGTCACTGGGCTGAGCGGGTAACGCAAATAGGGCGATGTTCTAAATAACAGATAATTGGGGTAACGATGCACAAGATTAATCAGTGACATGGAATGCTTGCGAAAGGATTTCATACGAAAACACTAGTACCTGCCTAAGTAAAACACATCATTTAATCAAAATTAAACGTTTAAAATTTCCTTAATTAGTCGAGCTTGTTATTTGGAACCTTGTAACCACAAAATTTAATGCATAAGCTACACACACTAAAATATCAAAAATTCCTACGAATCAAATCTTCCGTTCACAATTCCACTGGCATTTTCGCTGCCTCTGGTGGATTCCGCTTGCCCTATCATTGTCACCTGCAAACAATGGATCTGGCTGGGAGCTGTGGCAGCTAACGCCAGCCGGCCTGGAGCCAGCGCTGGAAGCGAGAGAGAGAGCGAGAGAGCTTCGGGATCAATACAGCCGCCGGCCGCGACCTTGAGGGAGAGGAGATGTGACATTGGGAGAGAGGACATGTTACCTTAGGGGGAGACGAGATATTGCACTGAGTGGGACTTGACCTAAAGGTGGGGAGAGAGAGAGAGAGAGAGAGAGAGAGAGAGAGAGAGAGAGATAGAGAGAGAGAGAGAGGCGAGAGGCGAGAGGCGAGAGGCGAGAGACGAGAGACGAGAGACGAGAGACGAGAGACGAGAGACGAGAGACGAGAGACGAGAGAGAGAGAGAGAGAGAGAGAGAGAGAGAGAGAGAGAGAGAGAGAGAGAGAGAGAGAGAGAGAGAGAGAGAGAGAGAGAGAGAGAGAGAGAGCAAATTGTGCCCCCAGGAGGAAGCAAGTGACGTTGGGGGAGAGGGACTTCAGATTGGAGACGGAAGGAGTTGATTTAAGCCGAGGTTGATGACCACAAACGTATATTTATCAAGCAAACAAATTTCTGCATCCAAAACAGGCATTCGTTGCCCTCTGCGTTTTAGAATACGAAAGCATGTCTGGCATGAAATTCATGAATGTCACTGAACACTTTGGAGGCCTTTGCAGTGACCTTTGTCCATGGTTGTAAGGGTCGCAAAGCTAGCCTTCATACAATATTCACCGTTCGAACCCGTTTACAAGCCTGGAGGAAAAGTACAAAGGTCAGCAATGCCATTAACTTAAAACCCTCGGGACTTGTTTTGGATGCCGATACCAAACAGTAACGCCAGCACGACATACCATAACAGGCATGAGTCATGCAAATACAGTCCCAGCAGTATCATAATAACGCTCATCAGATATGCAGCATGTCCGTGCTAATACAGTACATTAGTAGGGGCATAATGCAGCGTTACACGCTCGCCAAGACGACATCGTAAAAGAGTGACAGTATCTCCGTAGCTACAGACCAAGTAGAGTGAATAAGATTATATCCCTGTTGGCAGATGCTCAGTAGAATTGTACATAAGCTACGCTACAGCCACAGCTGAACGAAGCCCCATGGATACACAACATTCAAGGACAGGACGGACCGAAATAAAACGTGACATCCAATTCCGCGAAACGTTCGTTCCTCATTCATTATTCAGAGTTCTGAATCTAGTGACAAATGATAATAGAGGCCACAGCTGGAGAGAAGTTCGTTCCATGTGAACTCATCTTTCCACACATGACAAAAAAGGTCGTCTCCAGCGGGGGCTCGTGAAAAATCAGTCCAAGCTTTCATGAATAGATGGACCATTTCCACATGGGAAATGTCTGTGTCTAAGTAAGGAAGCTCATCAAATGGAGCGACATACATCTTATCCTTAACATGCGGTGGTAGAATATTATCAAAAGATAGTACCCAACCGCCAACATCGCACGAGCACATCATTCCTGCTTTTCCAGAATAATGGAAGGAACGAATAACAGAAAAAAATGATTCGGAGGATCGCTATTCATTTCAACAAATAAACGACATTGGCAACAGTCTCCCAACAGTTTATCAAAAACATAAAGCATTGTTAGTTGAAAAGTGACCACACCTAGCCACGGACCCAGTAACCTGGCGTGGGATTAGGAACCTCGCGCGATCCGTCACACAGTCATACCACCAGACCCGTCACGCATGACCTGTCATCTGTCACGGGTCATGGCGAGCTCGGAAGGACTGTGACGCTCCTGACAGCTGTCACATTCCCCGCCTGGGTGACGCGTCTGACAGGTGAGCTGTCAACTCTGGTGACAGTGGCTGCCACCGCTGTCATAGGTGACATTCAGCAGGAGACAGAAGAGTAGTGGTTCGGGTCGACCGCGATTAATTCTCAGAAAACTCGGTACGGGTTCGGAAATAGCCAGGCTAAACTTCCATGGAATTGACAAGTCGTATTCTTAAGCACAGAAATAGTTCGTCCGTGGTTTTACGAAAACCAGACAGCGATGTTCTAACTTAAAAGCTGAAGCGATTGTTACAAAATGTACAATCCTACATGGCTTAAAGTTCGGCATTAGCTGAATCTTTTTAATAGAAACCGATCCATGAATTCTGCAAGATACTGTCACATTTGCCAGTTGCCACTGAGGAGAACGCGATTGAAACTGAAAGCCGACAGCTCATTTTTCACAGCCGACAAGCTCACATGTCATAGCGAGCAAACTTTCCGAAGCAGGAATGTTTAAGATGAATTTAATACGCATTTTAGCCAGATTGACCATGTCCTGCTGGGCGATACATGTACCGAGATAAATGCTTCACATTTTCCTTAAGCTAACACAAAACTTCTTTAAGATCAAGAGGCATTCAAGTAACTCCTCACATTTAGTCCCGAAGAACTCCAACAACGAACTTTTCCGAAAGTTCGACACACGCTTCAACTAATTTCAACCGCGCCAACCCCTCACAACTGATTCCGACGCACAACTGCAACAGCCTTCAGTTACCATCCAGAACCGGAGCCCCAAGAGCCCTCATCAGCTAAGTGGCAACCCACCACCATACGCATACACTCCTCCCCCGCACAGGTTACCCTTTCACGGACCACAAAGCGGCCGTCCGGCGCGGCGACTTAGTGCAGTTCCGCACGTCACACCGGCACGCGCCAGTCGTCGGCTCCGACGAACTGGTCTCAGTCGATACCGACGGCGCCAGACTGTCGCGGCTCGCTCCGACGCGCCGGGCGCCGGGACGGAGGCGACAGGGACGGCCCCGGAGGTCGACCGGAGTCGACCGTCTGGCGTTCAACAGTCGAGGGACCCTGCCAGACTTTCCAAAGTTGGGCGATGAGCCAGAGCTGTTTACCTGATGCCAGTACGGCTTCAGTTTATTGAGAAATATACAGTTGGTTATTGGACAACCAACAGGAAGCCGAAACCAAGAGCGGTCATCGGAACTGGCAAGTCAGAAAGACTGCTAAAACTGCTGTCTATGCTTCCTAGTTAGAGCTGTCAGCAGTAGTAAAATAACAGCTGTAAGCACTAAGCAGCTGCTCATCGAATATCGACGCCGTGAACTGATCAATGGTCATATCAGCAGCCTCGCTCCCAGTCACAATAGGTTGTTCGTTTACTATCTGCTTACGTTTCTGGAAACGGACAAATAGCGACGGATACGCGATCGACTTTCAACAACCATCGATCTCACCCCACTTCATCAACCTATTTTTTTTCTCGACATTTCGTGTTACCCTACAGCTGTTGGGGAGAATTCCACCTAAAAAACGCAACAAACATGCAACAGATACCACAACACGCAAACTCGACAACAAGCACCTCCTGTTCCCTCGGCGGCCGCCAAAGTGGATCGAGCGGGCCCCTGGGTTGGCCGGTACATGTCGATGAGGTAGCAGCACACAACAATTCGTTTGCACGGTCGTACAGAGTTGAATGCGATGTTTTAGCACGTCTGGTGGCTCGTGAGCGAAGGCGTATGGATGGTCATGCTTGGAGGTCAGACAACAGGCTGGTGCATTTCGAGGCCTGACTCGAGAAGGTGAGTCAGAGTCAGTGACTGATTCGGGAAGATGAGTCAATGAGTCAGACCTCGTTCAGCGAGTCAGTAGAGTTTATACAGGGATAAGCCAGGTGTCGCGGGCACGATTCGTATACATTTAAATACAGACACGCGGTTACTTGCAAGCACTATCTTACAGCATGCACATTGCACGTGCAATACATTAGTGGGCGCTCGCGCAGTGCAACACGTTCCACGTGCAGGTTACGGCAGCACACGTGTAAGATATTAAGGGGCACGTGAGTGTTGAGTTATCGTAGCTACAGCGAGCGATGTTAGTTGTGGTTAGTTATCAGCCAAGCGGCAGAAGGTTAGACATCAAAGAAGCGAGCTCTCAAGACGAGATCGTCTCCTTTTTCATACCTGTACTGTCTTCACTGTGGCGCACTGTCGGCACATCTGACGCGGCTACACGGCGACTGCGGCGAGCACGGCGCAGAGCAGCGCCACAGCGGCGGTTGTGGCGCGGGGCGGCGCGGAGCCAGCCACGCCCACCCGCTGCCCCCTGCGGTAGGGTCCCATGTAGCTGTCCATGTCGACCCGGGCACGCAGCACGCGGTACATCAGCTCGTCGGACGAGCTGAACGCCAGCAAGCCGGCCTTGTGCCAGCGGTTGCTGGCCACGTAGAGGTAGCCGCCGTCCCAGCCGAAGGCGCTCGTCCATTGAAGGCGTGTGTCGTCGCGGTAGACCTGATCCTTCGCCGAAAAGGGCGCACTCGTGTTCCACTGGTCGATGGCATTGTTGTTGAGAACGCTGTAGAACATGATTCCCGAGTCTGACACGGTCATCCCTTCAGACTGAGAGCTGCGGGTGCCCACTTTGACCACATGTTCATTGATCTCAGCGGCTGAAGCCATCGCTACGTGAGTGCGATTCTGCAGGAACGATGTGGCGATCGAGAAGAAATGGAAGCTGGAGAGCGGGGCAAAGAACAGGCGTTGATCAGGAGCACTCCGAGGAGATATCGCCAGGCTGTCAATGGCCGTAGGGAAAGAGACGACCTCACTACCAATCTCCACCGCAATCGCTGAGGCGTCGTACTTCATGGAGGGATGCGTCACGTTCCAGGCGGAGTCTTCCCTCCACGAGTACACAAGCACTTGCTCACCCATCATGTCTGCCACATAAGCGAACCAGTCCTCAGAGTTCCCTGCAGCCGTGTCAAGCACCAAAGCACGCAGCATGGCTCCCTGCCGGTAAGGCACCAGCTCTTCGGGGAAGCTGAACCTCCTTACTTCCTTCCCAGCCACCATATCCCAGACGACCAGCTTGGCGGGACATTCGTGAGTCGAGCGACTGAACATACCGTGACTTCCCGAATCGATGATCCACATCCTACGCTGTGGATCGATCTCAATCGCCAGGGCGTTCTGGATCCCCTTGCAATCCGACCCGTGAGTGTTCAGCTCCCAGCTGGGGTAAGGACTCAGCACCGTGTCGTTACTTCTCGCCAGTACTCGATTCACCGTGGCGGGTACGCCGTGCCTCAGACGAGGAACCGTCACAAATACCTCTCCATCCACGGCCTTGACATCATACAGAGCGCAGTAGTCGGGCACGTAGCGACCAGTCTCGATGGCGGTCTCACGGGCCTCCGCAGACGCCCAGTCAAAGTCCAGCCGGGCCCACTCATGGAGTGTCTCCAGCTCTCCGTACTTTCCAGAATTCCCTGCCGCAGAGACTGTCACAACCAGCAGCAGCAGAAGCAGCGGCGGCGACTTCATCGTGGTTACCACGCCTCAGACACCACGGAAGATTCCACACCACTCTGACAGGCCGGGCGCACCCAGCCGACTGTCTTCAACAGCACCACCTTCGCCGACGGCGTCGGACGAGCGACTGAGCCGGCGACTGGTGGCGACGGTCCCCGCTACCGACGAGACCAGCTCGCGCCGGGCTCCCACCTTCCACTGAAACACACAGACGGGCGAGCGCGCGGTGGTCAGATAGCGTATCGATAAACGCACGTGCGTCAGTCCCCCCCCCCCCCGAGACAACAAGACTTGTAACGCACGTGGGTCATCCCTCCCTCCCACGAGACTTGTAACGCATGGTGGAGGTAGGAAGGGAGTGGTCACAGGGGCTGGGATAATCAGGCGGGAATAATTATGGGGTGAACATAACGGACAGCGTTATTATTTATTGGATATTAGGGGATTGGGGTGCGCTAAGTGGCACGTACCACATGGTGGCCGCGGTAATTGCTTTACAATTCACACAAAAAAGACTCGGACAGACAAAAATGGTTGCCAGAGCACTGAGGTGGATTAGTGAATGGCCAGAATATCGGATATTGATCAAACGCTCCGTGAAAATGTGCAAAGTGCGACGAGAAAATGTTCAGTAGTGCGTCGTGCGAGTTGGTGTCAAATAACGTAAGGTTGGCGTCCAATGCGAGACAGTGTAGATCTGCTTCACGCATCAAAATCCAAACGGAGACATCTAAATTCCGACCACTCGCAATGGGGTTGGGAACTCGATTTTTTAAGAATGCATGAAAATGATCAAACTATTTTCACAGAATTTATGGTGCATACCATTGCCTCATAAAATCAATAAGCTGAGAGAAATGGGGGAAGAAAGATAGGAAACTTGTTTTGAAAAGTTCTTGAAAAAAGATGCTCTTGATGCTGTTACGTCACATGTCACCTTCTGCGGTTGACAAATAATGGCGCATCTGGCGCACCACAGATTACATGTTATATCAATGGGTGAAAGATGTTGTTTGCTTCACTCTGCCATTCGCGCTGTTTTTAACTTTAAATTATGCTAAAACATTTACGGATGAAATGTTCAGTGTCAAAAATTGATGTGTCTGCCGTGTACTATATTCCCACTTAACATGAGCGCGTGATAAACATTTTATGTACCTCGAATTTTCAAATGATAAAGATGATGAATCGGAGGATGCTGAAAAGCAAAAGCTCATTCCAATATTTGGACTACTTTACGATTAAAATGTTTACATTCCTGTCATCTTATTGATCATTTATTTGTTCTTTTTTATGAAAATAACTTAAGGCGTTGAGAACCGAGGTAATTTCTATCTACCGTGCCTTAACTTACCAGCAACAGCAATCTATCTACGCCCTACGGTGGCAAGGAAGACTGTGAAAGAAGCGTAGGATGGATTCTAAACAATTCTTTTGTGATATACTGAAGGGCAAAGTGCAGAGAAGAGCGTACAAGTCCTGTTTTGTGCCAGGCTGTTTCAGTAGCACTTATGAAACTCCGAAAACGATCTTCGTTCATGTCCCGAACAACATTACCCTGAGGAGATGATCGTCTGCAATAGCAGGAAGAGCTGATGCAAGCCTACTTTGAAATCCACTATCAAGTCGGTGCTATTGTTGTAATGATCACTGTGAGGTGAGATATTTTGTGCAAGGGCTGAGTGTAATGCCCAGGAAATGACCTCCATTCGCCCCCTGACCGGTCAGGGTTATAAAATTTGAGTGGATGGCGGTCCGTTTGGGGTTCAGATGTCAATTGTATTTTGTTACTGTCAAACAATACATGTTATGCTGGCAGCGAATGTGTGTAACGTCGTTTTTCGAAACAGAAGTTAGAACTGTAACGGCAGAGTGCTTGCTGGTCTCATCGTAAGTATTGTAAGTGTTGTAAGCAAAAGCATTGTCAATATTGTAAGTATTGTGAGCATTGATGTATGGTAGATATCACCTCACATGATCTCGGCTCAGATAACCCTCTCCGGTGTCCCTGTCAGTAAATGGCACCTGGATCATTACAGATAAGATAATTTGTCATAATTCTTAAAGAATTGGGTGGTTTTGACTCGTTTACTCGAGGTGCAGGTCGCATTTCAATACTTTTCCATAGGCTTGCAATGTAAAGGTCACGACTCTGACCTAACCTCAGGTCACAGATTAAAAATTCTGAGATATACAAACGACACATACTGCAGGTACTGTTTTGAAGACTTGATGAGAGGAAATAACTTCGTGAAAAACTCAAGCTCTGACGTGTTTGCAAACTTTTCTGATGTGGGGTCAACAAACCCGCTCTGGTTACCTGACCTGACCTGACCCGGCATTTTTTTTTTTTTTTGCTGAGATGTGCGCAATGAGCATTTAGGAAAAGTCACCAAATATGAGTTGAATGTCTCGCGGCGTTTGGCAATTGTACAAGAAAATCCTGAAAGGTCTCCCCGTCCGAAATAGGGTTAATGTGTATATGGAGCGTTGCAGATGCCAAACATACCCAGATCTAAGACTGCAGTTCCCAGCGCCGCTGCAACGTTTTTAAAACAAACATACATAGGACATACAAACATGTTTATTTGCATCTGTTTTGGATAATAGCAACTCATGGCGCCATCACCCGCGATAACTGTTAGGATTTGAGATATATTTTTATTTAGGCCATTAGTTTGGCTGTAATGTTTATTAATATCAGTTGGGCGGAGTTTGGTAGTTTTTTATTTAACTTGTGGTATGTTGTGCTGATTGCGGGTTGTTCAAACCTTTCAAATGTAAGGACCTTATTGAACTCAACCCTACCCCTACACTACCCTACATACGACTGGACGCTTTCCAAGACCACAAGCATCACGACGCCGAGATGGAATGTAGCCGAGAAATCACCCTCGCCATCTGCTCTAGAGCTAATCGTGTGGGGCGGCGTGTGGGGCGCCGCTTAGCCTATGGGGGTGCACTTCTAGTGGATGGGGGACGGGAGTGCACCTGCACCCCTTTCATATGGAAAGTTACTTCCCTGATTACAGCTCCCCGTATTGCACCTAATCAGGGAACGGCCAGCAAACGAAGGAACTATTTCTGGATGACAGGCGAATAACCGCTCACGCAAGGAGCGGAGCTCCGCCCCGTCCAAAGTGGCCAACAAAGCAGAGACAGAGGCAGCGTCACATCTTCCATCAAAGAACTGGTTTCTGACTTGGAAGATGAGCTCCATCTTTGCATCCGAGTCGGTGCTGTCAGGAATCAGCTGGTCTAATGGAGTGAGAGTAGTGAGACGACTAGCTATTGTATCAGAGCTGCCTGGTCTTCGTAGCATTTGCACCGATTCTTCTCGATCGGACTCTGAACTCTGTCCCTCCTGCGTATTACTTGAGGCATTGCTATGTAGCTAAGTCTTTGGCAGAGTTTCATTATCCATGCTTTGCAAACAGTGCCATAACAACACAGTTAATTAATCACCAAGCTTCTTTGCAAGTTCCAATACAGTTGAATCGCACGCGATTTGAGTGCAAAAATCAAGAAAAGTGCCAACTTGTTCCCGTAAAATATTTTGAATATTGACCTAAAAAAATGAGTAATTTCCAGATAAAGTAACAGCGAAATCAGTTTTCGCTTGCCAATAAAACTCACAGATATTGAAGCTCCATTATTAAAGGAACATTTTAGTATATGCCATTCTTGATAAAACTTCTTAGCCACGCAATACCACCGCAAAATAAAGAGACACTGAAAACACGACCAATCACTCCGATTTACCATAGGAAAATACATAGAAAATGTATGTCTCAACTGCGCCAAATATACAGACAGTTATATACCTACATGTGACGTCATGATTAGCCCGACCAATCAGAAGCAAGTTGTTTTCAGCCACAAATAATTAATTTCTGAACTAACTAGGCATTTTTATAACAAAGTGATTTTAAATTAAATCATTAAAAATTCTGAGCTTTTTTATTTTACCAAAACATACAGAGCATGCAGATAGGTCCCAACCCTATTTGACCATTGGAAGCCAGCCATGCATGTGACAGACTGGCAGGCCAGGCCGAAAGAAAATTCACACAAAACTGTTCTGCGGGAAGAACGAAATAAATAGGAAGCACCCAGCTTCCCGGTTGATATAAAAATATGCAAATGAAGGAGTTTTATAAGATGTCTCACTAAAATTAGCCACTCCTTCAAACCAGCATTCCTAGCTACATCTAAATCCATCCTTCCTCGAGCCCCTGGACCGCCACCGATGCGTCTGAGGCCATCATACATCACCCTACCCATGCTGACGCCCGGCAGGAGAGGGACACATTGGCAGGGGGTCTAGACGGTTCCTCAGACGCACCCTGTCACCGCCCCCGCGGCCACTGCAGCACCCCTGAGCGACCCTGTCACGCCTTTGGGGCACTAATCCAGTCCCGATTGGCTTGGAGCCGCTCCAGAGTCGAGAGGACGCGGATAGCGAGGGAGACGGAGGAGACAATAGGGGAGACTGAAAGACAGGAGGGAGGGAGGGACAAAAGGAGAGCACTGAGGAGACGGGAGAGAAGAGACAGGAAAGAAGGGAGGGGTGGGGAGAATAGGAGGGAGGCGACAAAAAGAGACTGCGGAGAACTGGAGGGACGGGATGCAAGAGAAGATGCAAACAGGGAAGCAGGCTCAGTGGCTTGGGGAGTGACATAACTGCGGCAAAACCGTGGTTACATTCAGCGGCAGCTTTCAGTTTGGAGCATGTCTGACAGCCACTCAGGGATGAACTGAACAAACTGCTCATGTAGAAACCGCTGTCGGTAGCAGACAGACGGCGATGGATGGCTGTAATGGATGTGGTGAACAGCCATGAACTTGTTTCTGTTGAAATAGCTTCATTCTTTCTGAGGAATGAGATTTAAACGAATGTTGTAGCACGAGTGGTACAGCATGTTATTTAGAGAAAGGTGAATACAAAGGACTAATGAAGCACCCGATACTGAATCGTCCACCAAATTGAGAAAACAAAGTCAAATGAAGACACAGCCGAACCGTTGAAACCAGAAACAATAACCTGACGGGTTGGATCGGAGCCTCTAATTGGATAAACCTGAGCGTTTATAGCTTCACGCCCCAAACAATGGACAGACTGAGGCCATTGTCTGATGAAGCTGTCAGATATCTACCTACATAGCTGGGCGACCGGAGGTCAATTGGATGCTTGGATC